GGCAAACCGTTCAATGACATGGAAACATGATATGGGCTTATACCAACATGAGTGAGCCTCAGCCGCACTCACATAGGATGCCGGCGGATAAAAATGAGGGGTGCCTCGAAATGCGTGCACACGGGCACGCAAACCGAGGCGATGGCAGAATGCGATGCAAATGATATGGAAAGTCAATTTTTACATTTGACAGTCACCTCAAATTTAAAATAAACGAGTAGAGTTGCTCTTAAATTATGTAAAAATTCAAGATATGAAACCTTAAAATATGATTTAAAAATCTATATCATATCTCAAATTAATCTAAGTTATCCCTTCTTATGGAATATAGGGTCAGTATCATGTCTCAAATTAGTCGAAGTTATCCCTTCTTATGAAATATAGTATCAATATAGTGAGAAATTGATTTTTTTTATTTGGTTAATCTACTCATTATTTATAATATTTTAGATTATATTTTAGACTCATAAATTCATACTTAATCAATATTTTTTTAGATTCATTTATAATTAAAAATAAGATTGAAAACACAGAAATCTTTCCTAGCACGTCAATTTCGTACAGTAGAATATGATGGGCATAGCCCAAGAGGGTCTAGCCCATGACCCAAGAAGGCCCAATCGACCTTTGTCCTAAACCCCCCAGACAATTGCACGGACTAAAGCCCAGTAACAGTGAGAAGTCAATGTTGGCCCAAGTCCAATAACATCTGGACACTTGTCGGAAAGGTAGTCAGCCACGTGGTAGACACAGATCCTGCAGAATTATTAAACCCATACATCAAGCATTAAATGAAGATGTCATGGCATTAAATGCAATAAGACCTCTCATCTCCTGATATGGCGAAACTGTCATGGCCGACGACGAGTAGATTATAGACTTTCAGCCAATAAGATAGCTCGAATGGATAAAGGAAATGATTAGTAAAAAGCATAAGGAAGCTTGTGAAGAACGACAAAAAATGACAAGTAACACTTTCTTCCCCCTCCCTCTCAACTTTTCTATTCACCTTTTTTCGATCACTTTCTGTCTAACTTAACCATTGGAGGGTCTATGGGGAGAAACTACTCCAGCCTTGGTACCTCCCCACCGGACCTTTTGCATGTACACATTAAGGAGACCAAGGCCAGCAGACACTGTAGAACATGTGGATCAGTCCAACACATCCTCCATTGACTATATTGCATTATCAGAATATATTTTACATTGTATATATTCATCTTTTACATTATTTAGTTTGTTGTTGTTAAAGATGAATTTTTTTTAGATGGGTTGTTAAAGATGAATTGGAACAAAATTCAATAATAGGTTTGAGCTCTTAACCTTAATCTTATTAGAGTGTTTTGAGAAGATGGTTAAAAGTTGATTTTTTTTTTTTAATTTTTTTGACTTTTTCTAAAAAAACATGTAAAAAATGTGAGAGATTATGTGATCCAAACCCAAAAGATGGAAAATTGAACAAATCATTAAACTATCAGCAATATTTATTATTTTATTAAATAATTGACTATATGAACAGGCTCAAAATCTTGTGCTTTGGATTTAATTAGGTATGAACAGGCTCAAAATATTTGCCTCCAAGCTTTCATTCTCTTTGAACCTAGAGAAAGAGTGGAAGCTTTCTGTTGTTCTGATAAAAATAATTGTGTTATATTGCTTAGCTAGAACCATACATGGGTGCTATGGCTTATTCCAAAATGCCTAACCTTGTTAGGACTTATTCCAAAAATGCCTAACATTGCTGAAACTTATTCCAAGAATGTCTAACCTTGTTAGGACATATTCTGAAAATGCCTTGTTAAGACTTATCCCAAGAATGCCTAAGCTTGTTAAGACTTATTCCAAAAATGCCTAACCTTGCTGAGATTTATTCCAAGAATGTCTAACCTCGTTAGGACTAATTCTGAAAGTGACTTGTTAGGACTTATTCCAAGAATGCCTAACCCGGTTAGGACTTATTCCAAAAATACCTAATCTTATTAGGGCTTATTCCAAGAACGCCTAATCTTGTTAGGAACTACCAAAACACCAACTTGTTTATTGGCAAGCAAAACTCACTCCGCAAGGAATCCCACTATTGGACAAACCACCAACCTATTTGTGATAACCCAACCTGTAATATACTTAATTACGCATGCGATTATGTGTTTGATATGAATTTGTTTAATTATGTGAGTTATTATGTGATTATGAATTAAATCTATTTACAAGGTATCCAATTTGAATATTAAATTTATCAATAAGGATTTTGGATTTGATTTGAAATTGAGGGACTTGGTGATTTATGAAACAAAAATTGATGATGATAATAAGTTCAATTTAATATTTGGAACCTCCTTGTTTTATTTTGGGACATTGATCGAAGTGGTAACATAATGGTAAAGTAAGAGTGAACCAAGAATTTAATTCGGATAATTTTTCCTACAAGCAGCCATCACTCTTTTGCCTTTTTCTTTTTCCACACTTTGAATTTGGATTTGAGGCTAGAACCATTGGAAAGCTTATTTCCGGAGCTTCAATTTGGACACAAGAACGACCTAGAACGGAGTCCGGATGAGAGAGTTATGCCTGTTTGAAGTTTTGGAATCTGTGCTGGAAGCAGGTACGCTCGAGCTGGAAAATAGACGCTTGAGCGGAGTGCGCAAATTCAGCAAGTTTCAAGGCACTCTTCTAGATCATTCTTTACACTTCCATCTTCTCTCTTCATCTCTCTCACCCTTAGTCCGAAAATGTGACGACCCCGCCGTGTATAATATTTTATATTTGGTTAATTAAGGAGATTTGGGATTTATGAAAATTTTTGAAGTCTGATTCGTATTTGATTTTAATAAGAATTTAATTTGGAATTAGAAATTGAATGTCCAAATGGCTTAAGGAGGTAAAATTAGTGAGATGATTCAGTTTAATTTCAAATATCAGATCATATGAGGGTTTAATTAAATATTCGATTCAGTTTAGTAAAATTGAGATTTGATTAATTAGGTCCGAATTGGAGTTAATTAAGTTAGTTAAATTATGAGGATTTAGAATTGTTATTATTACGGATTAAATTTATTTATGGGGTGTCCAATTTGAATGTGTAATTTAATGATAGAAATTTGGAGTCTGATTAGAAATTAAAGGCCTAAATGATTTGGGAGATCAAAATTGATGATGACAATAAGTCTAATTTAATATTTGGAGCCTTTTGGAAGTGTGATTAAAAATCTGATTTAGATTTGTAAAATCACATATAATTAATTGGGTCTTAATTGAAGTCCATTAGACTATTTAAATTATGTGGGTTGTGATTAGTATGATTAATTAAGCTATGTACTAATTAAGATTAATTAAGATCAAATTGTGTTTAATAAAGTCAATGAATAATTATATAATAAGTTAATTCTAATCATAAATTAATTTGAAGAAATATCAAGATTGTGCACGTGTGTAGTGTGATGGGTTAGTATGAGTGTATGTTTATACCTTGGTGTTGGGACTTAACTCAAGAGAAAGAAATGAAATCCAAATATGATTAATTAGTTGATGGAAAAGCAGATTAATGTTTGGTAAGTTTTATCAATTCATGAATAAACCTTATAAAGACAAATGTCCCACTACCTTGTAATAAAATAAAATAAAATGATAATAAAAGAGAGAGCTTATAGTGTATTTTGCTGGAGGAGTTGTGGGAATTGCTGCAAACACTTTGAGACCCAACGAAAGGGAGAGAAAAACTGAGAGAGAGATAGAGAGTTCATCTACTTGGCTGCTGGAGAAGAAAAAGAGTGCTGGAAATTCAACAAGGAGTTCAAATTTTGAAGAAAGAAAAATTAATCAAACATGCTGGAAATAAAGTTTGAGGTATGAAACCATGCTTAATTTCTTGTAATATTTATATTACCCTTCAAATTAA